AGGCCGTTTTTATTAACAGCCGTCTCTCTGATGTTCCATTTGTAGATCACTAAAACATAAAAAATATCATATTCCTAGTTAGAATCAGATTGATTATGTATTAATAATATAGAAAATATGTTTCTTTCTGATCAAAATAATACAAATTACAAACAGTAACAATTTGGAGACCTAAAATTAATCCAGAAAGTTTATTCTAGATGTGAAGAATGTCATCTTGTTAGAAATGTTTTTTTTTCCCAGATATGTGAAAATATCTCTCAAACTAATGCATAGAAATAAAAAGGACATAAAACACCTATATTTTGATGTTTTTTTCCTGTTCAGTCCTCTAACATAGCTGTGTTGTTTTCCAGAATAAACCAGTGATGTTATTTGGACTGGCGGCCATCACTCTGTGCGTGGGTTACCTGGGCTATCTGCACGCTGTGAAAGAAAATGACCAGCAGCTTTATGAAGCCATAGACAGCGAAGGAGAGCGATACATGAAGAGGAAGACTTCTAAATGGGACTGACAGCAATGCACCATCTGACTGAGAATAAATCATGTTATTTTAGACTAAAACAACAAAATAAAATAAAGACACATCCAACCAGTCTAAGGTCTAATGACGTTCCAACTCAAAGATGAACAGGGAAGCATCTGCATCAAGAAGAATTAAGTCTTTTTTTAATCACAATAATGAGGTTTGGCTGGAAGACCAGCTAAAAATGCACATATGTTTTTCCGTAAAAGTTAAAAAAATATCCACTGGACTTGGTTTCCAAGATTTGAAGACGTTTCGCCACCTCTCCAGGAAGCTTTCTGAATTCAAATATATATATGTATATGTATATATATATATATATGTATGTATGTATATATATATATATATGTATGTATGTATATATATATATATATGTTTATACAGATATAAAGTCAATTCAAAAGTCAATTTTTAATCCTAAAGGGGGATTAAATGTTGCAGTAACTCATTTTTTATCCAGGTGTTGATGCTGTAGGCAGGAAGGATCTCCTGTAGAGGTCTGACTTCCACCGGATCTGTAGAACCCTCTGACTGAAGACACTCTGTGGTCATTGTTCTCCATAATCTTCTTCACTTTATGCAGAATTCTTTTCTGTGAAATCATCTGCAGAGGTTCTAGAGGAGTTTCTAGAGCAGAGCCGTCCTTCTTTCTCAGCTGGTTGAGCTTCTTTCAGGCATTACTTCTGATGCTGTTACCCCAGCAGATGATGGAGGAAGAGATCAGAATCTCCATAACATGCTGATAGAAGATCTGCAGCATCTTGCTGCAAACAGAAGGACCTAAGCTTCCTCTATTAGTCCAGTCTGTTCTGTCCTTCCTGTAGACGGCTTCCAGTTGTGTCTCCAGTCCAGTCTGTTGTCCAGGTGAACACTAAGGGATTTCTACTCCTCCTCTTCTTCTCCCAGGATGTTAACAGGATTCAACTTGTTCATGTTTCTTCTGAAATCTCCAATCATCATCTTGTTTTGTTGACCTTCAGGATCAGATGATTGTTTCCACAGCATGCCACAAAGCACTTCATCAGCTCTCAGCTTCTGCTCCATCTTTGATGCTCCACACGGCTGCAGAGTATTTAACCTTTCCTGTTGATTATTTAACTGGCTTGTAGCAGAGCCTGGAGCAGCTTTATGTTCATCCATAGTCTCAACAGATAGATGCGTACCAAATGGTTATTAATCTGAACCGTAAAGAGCTTTCAGAGTGCGGTGAATTCCTCACCAGTATTGGTATTTAAAGTTGGGCATTAAAAGAGTGCATGACATGGTCAGCCTCTAATGATCCACATTTTCTCCAACATCCAGTGTTAAGATTTTTGCATTTACTTGAAGGGGTGTTTATCATGTTTTCCAGCAATCCCCCACTTCCAGTTATAAATATCCTATTTCATCTGATAATATTCTGACTACTGGCTGTTCGTTAGCAACAAATGAAAGAGTGATTCGAGCAGTAATCACAGTCAAACAGATAATTCTGCACATATATGGAATAAATTCACCACAACTTCTGTTCAAAATATAAGAGTTTATTAACAAAATCATTCAGCTTCAAGTCAAACATATTTCAGTTAAAACTCTTTACTACTTTTAAGGTTTGTTGCAGCCAGTGACGTCTTTGAGAGGAAACTCGAAATGATTTATATTCTACGTCTTTCCATTTAGGGTTCATATCTGGGTTCTGCCATTGTTACAAAGGAATAACCTGCGTAATAATGTTCTAAACATGGGATCATTGCACCTCCTTTTCCTTAAGTACAGAGTGTCGATTCTGGGATCAGATTTTAATAGCAGTGCAGGTGGGTCATTATTATGGGATGGAGATGTTGTTAGTGACGGTTATAGTATTTTAAGGAGTCTGATTTCCAGTTAAGTTGGAACTATGTGTTCTGTGTTTCAGGGGAATCACTTGTGTTTCTGTTTAGTTTATAGCCAGATCATTTCCCCACATCAATGAAGAGAGACATTAGCTTCCCAAATGATTCCTCTGGTTTTCTCTAGTGATGTTAATGAGGCATCTGGAAGCCAAACTAGTGACACTGTCACACAGAATACTGACACCTGCTGGACATTTAAAGCCACTACAGGCAGCTGATTGGAATAAACTGAATGGATTTGATGACCTAGAACAATTATATCATTGAAATTATTAGAGGTTATATTGTATTATTTTATATCTATGTTAAAATTGAAAATGTCTTTGATATTTTTAGATGGAGCCAATAAATAATGTAAACATATAAGGTGAAATTTAGGGAGAAATGTGAATGACGATGCTTGTGGATTTTAAATCATATTTCTAAAACATAACTACAGTGAAAACAGTAAATGAACTAAGAGTCAGTTTGAAATTAACTTAAATTGAGATAGTTGAGTGAAAACTGAGAGGAAAAGGATGACACAATGAGGAAATTAAACTTGAAACGTTACTATTCCTTTTAGGCTCCAAAATTCTGGATCATTTAAACGATAAATCGCCAAAGATGAGACATTTTTTTTAGCAGATGCATCATTGTTACAGATTGTTTTGGTTTCTATGGGCTCCACACATGCAGCGACACATCAGGGTTAAAGGACACATCACTAGTTCCCTTAGAGAGACCAGAATGTCATCCACTAACAGTGCCAGCTGTAGTTCCTCTCTACCCACCACAATGCCTTCAATCTCTTTAGTCTGTCTTAATATTTGGAAAGAGTGAATACCAGGGGAGAGATCAGAACACCAGGGTCTACTAAAGCAGAACTTTGTAGAGGATAAGCCATCTAACACTCAAAGGCCTCATCAAGTCCAACCAGTAGAGCCTTTGTCCTGTTAGGATTATTATTATGAATGAAGTGTGAGTCTGTTAAACCTAATAATCCCTGCCTGTTGCATGTCAGACCTAATGTCCAAACTAGTTGATCTAATTAGGACAGTTCCTCTGTCAGGATGAAACGTCATCTCATTATGTATGCTGCAAAGATTAGATGCGGCAGACTGGAGATGTATAAAATGCTTTTCTAACTGTGACTCACGTCCACTTCCTGAGAAGTGAGCCCGGAGGGTAAGCAGCTGCCTTCTGTAACTCTAAGCAACCTCTCTGATCTGACTAAGATTATAATTTCTATCAGAATCTGTTGTCATGTCTCCTGGTTATTTAACACATACACATTATGAAGTATTATTCAAAGAGTGTGTCCTGAGTGATCTGTTCTTAGGAAAAAGAACCAGAGAGAGAAAGTTTCAAGGTGGAAACACAGTTTCCTTAAACAGTCCCATTCCTGTTGTAATCCATGGAGTGATTGTCTGATGTGATCTAGGTTCTCCACATCAGATCTGGTAGATAGATATGGAGTCTGCATGCTATTACTGCTGTGTAATAGTAATCTAAGTTTAGTACGCTGATTGGTGTGGAACTGCCAGGTTATTCTGTTCCTGCCCTTCCAGAGGAGTCTTCACCAGCAGCATCAGACACCCCATCTTTCCATAGGGGGGGTATTTAGCAATTTCTCATAATCCAGTTAAATGTGTTTGCAAAGATCAGAGATAATTCTTTAAAATCTTGTAGCACTCTGGCATACAGCCCTCAGGCCCATGGGTTTCCCTGTTTTGAGTTTGGAATTTGCCAAGTGGATTTCTTTGTCATTGGCTGCATTCATTTTGCAGCCCCGTCATTTTTGATAGGTTCAAAGATGAAAGAAACTTATCAATTTTGACTCAGCTTTTTATTGTGATTATACTGTCAGAAGTACAGAGCAACAAAATGAACTCTGTGTTTAACCCATCCCTTGGAGAGCAGTGGGCTAACATTGTGCAGCACCCAGGGAGCAGAACTCAGGATTCCAAGCTCTATGCCCAAACCACCAGGACGCCACTCTACATGTTGGTAGTTGAGAGTAGAAGTTTCAATAGAATTCTTGCTGCCATCATTTTCCTCTCTGGCAAAAGAGCTGAGAGAAAAGCAGCCGACTTTGTTAATGTATCGAAGAAGGGATGATATTAAATTGTAAAGTGTTAAAGAATCTCTGCTTCTTTTTCTATGTCTGCTTCTGTCTCCTTGAACCCCAGTGGGCCTCAGCAGATGGCCGCTCACACTGAGCCTGGTTCTGCTGGAGGTTTCTTCCTGTTCAAAGGGAGTTTTTCCTCTCCACTGTCAAGCATGCTTAGTGTGAGGGATTGCTGAAGGGTCAATGAGTCGATGCAATCAGCTGGTTTTCCTTAGATAGAAAACTTTGAATCAATCTGACTGGATGATCTGGTAAACTGGAAGGTGCTTTGAGATGACATGATGTGAATTGTTGCTATAGAAATAAACTGAATAGAACACTGTAGGCAGTTCTGTGCAGAATAGCAACATGTTTTTAAAGTAAGCAGTGTTTTTAGATGCCAGGGAAGAAAGAGGAAAACACAGACAGTATTTCTATGAGCTTTTATTCTGTTAGCTAAAAGCTAAGTATCCTTTATCTCCACTCAGTAACTTAAACTGCTGAATCATCATATCTGGAAAAGCATAAGAAAAAACGGTTCCGAGGATGGCTGAAGTTCCCTGAATAGAAAACTAGACGCTTCAACGTCTTGATTTCTCCTCCTGCAGAAAGGAAGAAAAACAAAAGATGTTAAAACCAGAAAGGTTGCAGCAGCGTCTGGCTAGCGGGGCCATCGTGACTCATTTCACCTTGATGACATCAGCCAGCTCCTGCAGGATCTCCTCATAGCGGGCTTCCATCCCCTTTAGACTCTCCGGTTTAATGATCTGCTTCTGGATCCCGGGACTTCCTGCATCCTTCACCATCTGAAGGAAAATGGTTTCCTGAGGGTGGGAGCAGAAACCCAGGTGGGTTTGGTTCTTTCTTTGAGGCGTTTATTAGAAAGGAGACAATAACTAAAACGCTCCTTCAAACTAAAACAATCAAAGCACTGATGCTAGACTGGCATTTAATGAAAAAACACACAAGTTGCTTTTTCACTAAAAAGTTTCCACTTCTAAACTGGATCTTCCATAAAATAACAGGTTTTCTTTTTTCATCTGGAGTCACTTTTTACCTTCACCTTGCTTCATTCTGTTTAAGGGAAACACATTCATCTTATTTATCCTAGTTTTATTGAAACTAGACATGATAATGTCCAGATGTGGGTAAAGTTTGTCCTTAACAACAGAATTACCTGAACACCTTTACTGAAGTCAGTGCAGAAGGAAGCAGTTTAAAGTCATTCCTAACCTTGTAAAATAAAAATGAGTGTTTAATACCGGCTAAAGGCTTTTCAGAGCACAGCGTTTAGCGGATATTTAACCCACAGCACAGGGCCCAACTCACACCTGCTGATGTTTATCTATTTATAGAAATGGGCGAAGCACAGTCACATGGTGTTTCATCCACACGCCTTTCAAATGGGGCTTTAAAATTTCTTAAACAGGTTTCAAAATATTTCTTTCACAAATACTTTGTGTTTTATAGCTGTGTAAACAAATAAAATTAGATTGAACAAAATTTAAATAAAATGTGACTCTGTGGGAGTAATGCAACAGCAGGTATTCATTTTAGCCCCGCCCCCTAATGGCCGCCATCATTGGCAACTAGAGGCTCAGACCTTTCCAAGGAGGGGTCAGAGGTCATTGTGCGACCATTTCAGGTGATGTAACCGGCACGCGTTACATAAGCTTGCATCTATTCTATATTTCTATTCAGTTTGGTTTTATTATTGGTCAATTTCAATGAACTAACAGCTATATCTAAGGAGCAAAGACTTTGTCTCATGCAGAATGTCTCCAATAATTGAAATCAGCATATTTGTCTGAACAGATTCCCTTTTATGAGTGGAAAATATGCATTTTTGCACTTTTTGCACCACTGTGCCAAAATCCCATTTCTGGAACAAACATGCTTCAACTCATTCAGTCCAAATTAGCTTGAGTTATAGTCAAGATGTAGATCTATAAAGTCTATAAAGTCTGAGGGTTCATCCACAGTTTCAAATGGAAACAAAATTTGGCTAGGCTAAAAAATGTTTCATTCTTTAATCCCCTATAAATCAGACATGGTGACATTTAAAATAATGCTTCCACCTGAAAAATATTCCTCAACGCATTCTGTTACACAGATACAAACTTGTATTTCCAGTTTATAGTTTGGGAGCTGAACTTGCTCTAATTCACAGATGTATTTCAGGTGGAATTTGCTCCCTGTGGGCTTAAAGGAATAATCTCAGATGGCCCAGAGCTTCAGCTCATGGAGAAAATGAGGCTCCAGAACATAAAGTGAACATGTGAGGCTGGAGAACTGCAGGTTAAAACATGTTTCTATCTTCATTCAGTGAGCTGAGCCTTTAAAACAGTACAGAAGTAAAATTATAAAACTAACTAGTTAAAACTCACCCTGCATAATAAACACCTTAAATGAATAAGGAAGATGCAGCATGGGTAACCACTAGTGATGGCTCCATTAACAGCGATGCGCGGAGCCCATAGAGCTAAACTCTGCATCGGTGCGCGTGTCGTTTCCAGAAGGTCATGTGACCGATACAGGAGCTGTTTCTAACTGACTGACTTAATAAACTGCACCTGAAAATATCAAAGATATTTTGCACAATCACAGAAACCTGATGTTTGCCATTTTCCATAAATGACTTCATGTTCCAGTGGTACAGTAAATGGTAAATGTGCAAAAACAAAGCTGCAGCTGCACATCTATCGTTTTTTACGTCTTTAGCGACATGCTGGAAAGCTGTTAATGAAAATAACTGATTTTAAAAACGTTTTTCTACTTGTTTGGTCATAAACCATGATAATAATAATGTTCATGTTTTATCTTAGTGCTCACTGGGGTAGAGGGAGCTCTGGAGCTCCTTTCAAAAATGGAATGGAATTGAAATTTCCCAGCATGCCCTGTGGGGACACTGTAAACGCTCTCTGTGATCATAGTTCAGAGTTGGCCTGTGGGCAAAGTGGAGCAGAAACCATTTTCATTAGCGGTCACTGGAGACATGCCAGTCTGCTTGAAAGCCTTCACCATCATCAGAAAATGGTCCACAGAGTACCTGGAGAGAACCCGCACATGCTCAGGGAGAACATGCAGCACTGGACCACTGAGCATGTTATAAAAAAATAAAAGAAACAGCGCAGCTACAGAGCAAAACCCCACCTAACGAGTCTGTGCAACATCTCTTAAACCAGAACAGAGAATTTTTTAAAACCCATCCATAAACGGCGTGGGGCGGTTTCCATGGTGACAGAGGCAGAGGGGTGATTCTCAGAGAGAGATCTGGGAGGTTTATCTGAGTTTTTTTTGTTTTTTATTTCATTAAGAGGTGAGAGAGATGAGCTGCTTTGCTGCTCCATCCGCCCCTCACTGGTTGGTTTCAGTGAGGCTCAGAGGATCACTACTGCATCCATTTCCTGTCCTCCTGAGCTCCTATTATAGGTCCACTATTCTGCTTTTTAAAATGTTTCATTGATTGTTTCTGTCCAGTCTGTCCTTCCTGCTATATTCGCTCTGTGTGACTCCAAACTGATGAACAGATTTTATTTAGTATTTTCCCCAAAGTGTTTTACTTTGTAACGGCGTCTCTCTTCCTGTCAGACCCAGGGAATTGCTGCTGAATGGCTGCATAGTCTGACTACAATAGACCTGGACTCTATCTCAGTCAGAGCTAACCAAGCCTCCTGGAGGAAACCCTGTCAGCTCAGACTCTATCTCAGAATCGATGTTTATTTTCTGACCAGTGAACTTACCTGAACTCTCAGCAGAAAGGTGAAGGCCAGTCCAGACTTTCCAGCCCTCGCTGTCCTTCCAACCCTACATGATGAACCATGGAAACCATGAAATCATGTTACTAATAGAGAAAATGGAGAGATTTCTAATTTAGAGACTGCACTGCTAACCTGTGTACGTAGGTCCTTATGTACTGCGGGGCGTCATAATTGAGAACACATTTGACCCCGTTTATATCGATCCCTCTGGCAGCTGCATCTGTGCTGATCAACCTGAAGTAGATCAGGAGAAAAACATCAGATCAGACTTTTAGAGAGCGACATACGGCTGGATAGAATAACAGGAGCTTTAGCTAATGGCTCACGATGAACATCAGCGCTTTGAATGAAGGTCAGGGAGAATGAATGAGGAGAATCAGGTGCAGGAAGAGACTCACAGCTGGATCTTCCCCTGTTCAAAGTCCTTCAGGGTGCTTTTCCTCTCACCAGGAGAGAGTCGCGAGGAGAACTCGGCTACATGAACTCCACCAAACAGCTGCACCAAGCGGTGGAGTCTGAACACAGAGGGATGCAGAGGAGTCAGACAGCAAACATCAACAGGCCTGAAGGGAGAGTTAGACCTTCAAACCTGTTCCTTATGTTCCTAACAGAGCACTTCACCCTCCATCTAGAGTGGTTCCTAGAAATTCTAAAAGTAGAATGGGAGGCAGATCTTTTAGTTATCAGGCTCCTCTCCTGTGGAACCAA